ATCTGGAACATTTCCAAATTTTCTGCTTAGCACTAAAAAAATAATCGTAGCAACAACAACAACAGCAAAAGCTTCTATAAAAATCATTTGAAAACTGCCACAGACTTGAAGCATAATCTTGTTGGTGTGGTATTACTGACATCTCTTACATGTTTAAAATAGAAATTTCTGTTGGATTCTAAAGTTACCTTTCCTATGTCCAGTACCATTCCCCTGCATTGCTCACTAACATGAATGCTAAGACCTGAACTACAGGTGATGTAGATATCCCTTTGTTTTCACATTGATATTTCTTCTTAAGCAACGCCCCTCTCTTAGTCCTCAAACATGAAGGCCACTTAAAATGTCCTTATTGTTTGTAATAACTTTTAGAAAAATCCATACGCTGTTTAATAGCAGCAGGCTTTCTATACAGAAAACACTCGATATGGCATCCTTGTGAGCCTATTGTCTTCAGATCGTTGTATTATATTCCCATCACCTCTGCAAGTTCATTTATTCCTCCCTTGCTTGTGCTCCCTCCTTTTTTTTTTTTTTTTTTTTTTTACCCATTTGGCTACACAGAGCTGCCTCATGTCATTCTTTGCATACATCATCTCTGTTTTTTCTCTTTTCCTGCATAATGGCCCAGCTTCTCTGAGAGTAGCTGTTGTCCCGAGTGTGATCCTTTACTAAAATGGGGATTGAATGAAGGTGGAGTACAGATTCTCTGGAAGCAAAGGAAAACCAGGCATTTGAAAAGGACCCAGAAAGGAACGAGTAATGAACCAGACTGGCCTGGATGAATTGCTGTAGAGGGAATTCTCAGTCTTGACACAAAAAGAACACATGGGTACCAAGGAAAACCTGGCTGGCGTGGGGGCAAGAATCTCAGTAGGAAGCCTGCCTCTTGGGCTGGTCAGTACAGAGAGTTGAAGCCAGTAGCCTTCCAGAAATGAACAGAAACAAATGTATTTTATGAGTAACAGTTAGGCATTCAAACATGCCCGTTCTGGAACACAAGGTACTTTGAGGGGTTGACATCCCTTCATAATTCATGTTCATTGTTCCTCTAAGTAAAATATGTGTCTCCCTGTAGTTATTCTGTTAGGAATTGTACTTTAAAGGCAAGAGGACATTTTTGATAATGCACATCTTAAACTTTTCATTAAGCTACCAAATTTAAATTCTACCTTTTTGTGCACTCTGACATTTTTGTCTGGCATTTTCATTAATTTTGCGACATACATAAATGTAGCTGAAATGTTAACTGATCAATACTTTGTCTCTCTCATGTAGCACTCGCGCTCCACTCCCTAAGGACCACACAGCAGAACAGAAATTAAATGTGTAAAATATCAAATGTTAATGTTAAACACAGCAGCACTTACTGTATAACGACAGAAAGGGCTAAAACAATTCCAAATGGACAGATGGTACCACAAATTATCTACAATCACATTTAAAGATTAAAGTTTGTCCTGTAAAATAATTCTTTGACGCACACTGAAGTGTGTCCTTTCACTGATAGCTCGGTTGTCCAATTATTTTTGTGCTCATTACAGTGAGAAATGACAGTACTGAAGAGAAAGAGAGTGTGCACTCTGTTTTTTTTTTTCCACGTTGCACCCACTGACATCCACAAGAACACAAATGTCTGGTCAAGAGCCTGATGAAAATTAGGCCCAATTTATGAGACATTTCCACGTCTACGAAAGATGATTCCCAAAGACAAGCAGCGCCTTCTGCGCCACATACGTCTGTGTTTCCTCTTAGGCATACAATATTCATAGTAAAATTTAAAAACCTGATTTGCAGCACACAAAAACAAGGACATTCCCAGGAACATGCTCGCCTGTATTTTATCCCTCACCTCCCAGGCCGACTGCAGCTTCTGATCTCGTCAGCCGGCTCTGCGTCTTCCCCAGAACACATAGGTAGTGCCAAAGAGGCTGGAGCAGCCCTAACCCTGTGTTTCTTAAGCTTTCTGCTTTAATTGACATGGGAACCAAAAAAAAAAAAAAAAATCATTGTTTTTCCATTTTGATTTCATTATTCTGCATTTATTTTTGGATAGAAAATTAGAAAAGAAAAATAAAACGAAATAGAAAAAAAAAGGCACTTAAACATTATAAAGTTTACTGATCTGGGCCTAAAACCAAGCCACATAATGGTACAAATGCATGTGCTCCGTGAAGCAGCTGCATTTATGAAAAAGTGGGCCAAGTGGAACCAATATTATAATAATAGACCCGAGATCCATCAACAGGGAATGATGGGAACAATATGTTTGTAACAATGGGGTGCTGCTCATACTCTTCTCCTAATGGAAAGCAGTTCTTTTCAATAAACTGGCCTAAAAAGGCTCTGGTTATGCAATGAGATCTTTGAAACATTTCACTTTTAAAAACATCATTTAATATCTGTAAGATGAATAAAAATCCTACAATGTTTTTTTTTTCTGAATTGTTATGATACTTAGATTACAAGGTCCATATTTTAAAAGCTCTTTTAGAAAGAAAATAATACCTGTTGTGCACTTGTGGTAAGGTTCTTTTCTGTGCCTCAGTTTTTTCCTCTGTATATTGGGAAAATAATAGTAGCTACCTTATAATTAGGTTGTTGGAAATGTTAAATTCATTTATGCATGAAAAGCACTTTCATGCCTTAGTGCCTGTAGAACAGTTTCCTGGCCCATAAATGTTCAGAAAGTTTTAGTTGTTGTTATTATCATATAGTGAATTATTATATTATTATTTAGAGGATTATGAAATAGTTTAAAACTTAGATGAGGGTCTAGGGAAAATTGCTGCTGAGCATTAAGCTATGTCTATCATCATTTAATAACCAGCTTTACTAGAGCAAAGCCTTTTTTATCTGGCATCATTCAAGAAGACTTTCTCCACTTTAGAAAAATTTTCAGACTGATTGGTTTATAGGCTGGTCTATTGATTTAGATAGCCATTTTAATTGGGAACCTCCCACGTGCTAGATACTCTGCAGGTGATGCTGGAATACCAGGGTGAAAAAGGCAGGGGTCCCCCAACCTTCTGATGGAATGCCCAGCTCAGGTCTAGATAAATGAAGTTCAGTTTTGTTATTTATTATTTTAATTACATTTAGTAGAGTGTGACTCAGTGCTTCTATTCAGTGAAATGGTTAATATGATCATTTCTTCTCAAAAGTACTCTTACTGCACAGTCACATTGCAGCTTGGGAGGCCTCTTTTCTCACCATCAGTGTTTGCAGTCTCTTTTCCTACCTCTTTTTAACAAGCATCTTGCATTCAATTTGTTTTTTTGTACAACCAAGGCTGTTGGAAACTGGCTACAAGCTAAGAGAGATATTATTATCTTTCCTCCCCTGTGAACTTTGATTCCCTTACAGTGAAAACACTCAAGTAGTATCATATGAATGTACCAAAGTTTCTCGGACTTTCGGTGCCTGATTTTTGTTTTTAATCAGAAGAATATTGTGAAAAAAGTCTGCCATCTTGAACGCATTTTACACGAGTGACCTCGAGAAGCCAGAGGGAGTTTATGAAGACTTACTTACACAATACATTGTAATGTTAAAGCATTCAAAATGAATGTTCCTGAACAAATGATATAACTATATAGATTTCTGTTTTCAAATTTTGCAAATAGTCATGGGGAACGACTTTGGAAAGAGACAATCAAAGATGGCATCATGGCATTTTCAGGAGAATATTTCTGTGTGTGCTATAAGGCCCCATGGAACCTGGAAGTAATGGCATAAAATATACACAGAAACTCAGCATCATTTTTTCCTCATTAACATCAAAGTGCTTCTATGATAGTGAAAAATCATAACAAGGTTTGCTTACCAGGACCCCGACATATTTATCAGGTGAAAGAGCTAAATAAAAGAATATTGAAAGAGGCAGATTTTCCTTTCTGAAACTTAATGATGATGGCAATCGCTTTCTTTAAAGAGACAACAACATGTCTATGGGAGGCAGGCTGCCTAACTTTCTGGTAACTTACAACACAAAGGGACATACACACTCTTTGTTCCATGTGCTCAGACATTAATGAAAGTCCCATACAAGGCCTGAGAGGAGGACAGAGCTCAAAGTGCTAAACAGATGTGCATACACTCATTTTAATGGTAATACTAAAATGTTGATTTGTTACTATAATTAAGGATTTTCTTTTAAGCCCCCATGATAAAGTCATATTCTGCTAACCTGGAAACTATAAGGAAGCATAAGGTACTCATATTCTAACAAATACGACAATAAAATAAAGGATTTCGAAAGAAGGACTCCACTTAAACTTCAAACTGAAATCCTGAATAAGCAAAACTAATGTGAGAGCAGAAAATCCCAGCTAAAGCTCAGAGGAAAGTGTTCTCTCAGATTTTCTAGCTCTGCAAGTTGGTCTCATCAGCAGTTTTTAAATAACCAAAGTAAAAGGCCACAAGATGAACATTGTTAGAGGACTATTTGGATCTATCAAATTCTCACTTGTGCCTTTTTAAAAACTGAAATCTCAGAAACAATAAAACATCTCTTAAATAGGTCACATCCACATCCAATGGACTCACATATTCAAATCTTCCCAACTGGCATCCTACTGCCAATGATTTTCATATTTTGAAAAAAAAATCTATGGAACAATAAAATTAAGATGAGGATGGTCAAGATTATTAGTTGTTTTGTTTTTAACACTAAGACTTTTCTTGGCTCTGTTATTGGGATTTGGAATTATGCAAAATGTAAAATTTTACTTTTTAACTATCATGGAGAAAATTATATATTGGCTGAGCTATCTCGCTTTCCGGAAATCTTGGGGGGGGGGGGCGCATGAAGTATTCTTGGACTCGGACCTTGAACGATCCATCAGGTTCCTGCCCACGGCAAATCTGTCCAGTCAAGTCTTAAAATAGGAGTTTTAAAATGGTCACATCAACATAACTGTTACTATAGCCACAGAAACAGGCTGCTATGATTACTGAATTTAATGAATAACAATGTAAGTAATAAAGAATTATCATACCACAAAAGCAGCGAGGCTCCTTGGGGGTGAATCCCAATCAAAGCAACTATTAACGTAGTATGCAGCATTTACGAGCACCATGACACAACGCTTCATTCTGATAAAGTTTCTTAGTAGCAGCTGTAAGGAAGATGAAAATATTATCAGAATTTGCAAGACTAAAAAACCATCAGATAGGGTACAAAATTCTTCAAGCTTAGTGTGATTTAAAAAGGATTCAGAAAGTTAATAAAGTTGTAAGAATATACCAAGCAATTTGGCTCACGAGTTAAAGGAAGAGAAGTATCTCTGGAGAGAGTAGAGAGGACTGAATTATAAGAGCAATTTCTTAGCTAAATTTATTTTCTTAAATAATATTATTATGTGGGTTGGGCTACCTTTGTTCCAAAGGAAAAAAATCTCTAACAGATTAAAAACATTTACATACTGTGAACTTAAATATATTTTTTGACTCTTAAATCTCATTGTGGTTTTAAGAGTCTTTAAATGCGTTAATTTCAAGATATTTCCAAGTGAAATGGATAACTTGGAATGCTGTGATTTCACGTCTTGGAGAAAAACCTGTCAAGTGTTGCTTTGTTACAGAGAACAAAATTTTCATCATTTTTGTAGGATTGTCTCTTGTTTACTACCAATTTTTCAGTCTCTGTCTCTCAGTCTCTCTCTCAGACTCTCTCTCTAATTTTCTCTCTTTTCCACAATAAATTTAACCTGTATTTTCTCATTGCTTTTTCATAATTTTGGAGTTAGGAAAAAATTCATGGTAAACCAAATGCTTTACAAAATCTTTCATTTAAAAGGTACATGAAAATGGATGTAATTTAAATCTAACATTTAAAACAAGGCATGACCACAGCTATGAAAAGAAGAGCCCATATACTAGATGATGGTAGAAAAAGTGATCTATAGCTGTGTTAATAATTAGAATACTATGTCTGCAGGTTAATATTTTTCTAATGCCAAATATACTTTAATATTGACCTGATATTTTAAAGAAGTACTTGTGTAAACCTTCCTGAGGTAATACGGAAAAATACGTATATTGTGTGTGTGTATAAATATAGATGCATGTACATGCATACCAGTTTTAACAAGTTGTTAAAATTGAAATTCTTTCAGGAAAAGAGTCACCCTATTTGTTTCCTTCTTTCCTTCCTCCCCGATCACCTTCCTTTTAGAGCTCCTTTTATTACTTTTATCTATAATTGTGAAAAAAATGTAATCTGTATCTCTGTTTAGATAGGTATTGCATTTGTAATTCATGCACAGTGTCTTTAAACAACCAAAGATCCCACTGTTTATGGTGAACTGATTGGATTAAAAACAAAAGTACTTTTAGTCTTCTAATAGCACAGAAAATTTGTTAAATATTTTAACACACACGAATAAGTTCTGTAAACTCTATAGCCATAGCAAAAACATTATATTTTAGCTGTGTTAATTGGAAGTAAACATTTTTTTTAAAGAGGTAGCTTAGCATCCTTTCTTCACTTGATATCAAACCTAATTTAAATCTATGTCTAATTACAAGGTATCAAACCTTATTTAAAATTTCTTTGTGACAGAAAAATCAGATGTGCTGACTTTCTATTTTCTTAGCTCAAAGTGCCAATAAAAGTTCACTTCTAAAAGACCATAGTCAAAATCTAATTAACAGGAAGGTTTCCCTTAAAAGATGGAGCCCCCCTCTTATGGATTAGAGGGAAGAGCTTTACGCAGGGCTCGCTTTACACACACCTGCATCATACCTGTGGGTGGTCTGGACGTATATTTGAACCTCAGCCTTTGGTGTTCTCATTTACACATTCCATGGCAATCAGACAGTATTTTATGTTCAAAATGATCATTCTTTTGCTAATGCATGAATACATATCCATCCTACGCAGCCCCTACAGTATCCCCTTTCCATTCTGACCACCCCCATCCAATGTATTAGTTTGGTACTGCCCTTGTTTGATCTTTTAAGGAAAGGAAGGGAAGAGAGAGAAAGAAAGAAGAAAAGAAAGAGCCATTTCACATAAGTAGATGACCAAAAATTCCATAGTCTTCCCTCCCTCCGTACTTCCAAAGTTTATTTGAATTTACCTAGATGTTTTACAGATATAATCAGGTCTTCCCAGAGGGATTAATCTTTCCTTGCCTTTTTTTTTTTTTTTTTTTTTTTACCTGTTTAGAGAGTCTGTTTTCCTCTTCAATGTACTTCTGTTCTTTGGGTATTAATGTTCGTAAGCTGGCTTTCACCTATACATCAACATATGTGTCTGTTATGGATTAATAGATTAACAAATGTTTACAAGTTTTTCACGCAGTTCAATTTGCCATAATTCCTAAAGTTTCAAGGTCCTGGCTGCTGTGCTCATAAAATATAAATGTATACAGTTGCACATGCATGCGCTTCCATTTCTTACGCCGGCAGGCAGCGGCCAGAGCACAGCGGCAGTGGCAGCCGCCAACTAGAACAGAAAGTGTGGGTGTGCCAGGCAGTGGCAGAAGCGTATTCTCCAGGATACATCAAGGTTTAGAGAAAATGAGGAATGACAGAAATTCTCTACAAATCAGGAACAAAAGCTTTCATGAAACTGAACTCTTTAGCAGTACAAAAAAGCCAAAGTTAAGACTTACAGCATTAAAAATCACATCTATTTCAAGATAGATGACCCCCTTTGTTGGCCCTGTCAGCTGCTTGTTTTTCAAGACGTAGGCTTTCTGTTCACCATTTTGAATCTGCGGGAAAAGGACATGACAGCCGTCTGTCTCGCGGTCTCCACTGAATACACTCCCTCGGTGACCTTTGACCCCCAGCTGCTGAAACTGACAGAGAACCCAAAACAACTGTGGCAATTCTGACAAGTACCTGTTCATTACCAGGATCAAGTCTGTCAGGAAAAATTAACTATCATGGGATTCAACATGGCCGTGAATTGAGTATGTTAAAATTTTTAGTGTTCTTATTACAGACCTTGGTTGAGAAATGACAGATACCGAGCTGAGGGTTTTTTTTTTTTTTCCTTGAGCAAAAGCAACACAGAGCAGTGTGTCAGGTGAATAAAACTTACAGACAGCAATGGTATAGCAACTTTGCCCAGAAAGTCAGCACTTCGATCCCGATCTTCATCATAAACTGTCACTTCAAGAACTGAATGGATATCTTTAATGTTGCTGCATAATAAATATACGTAAGAAGAAAAGACTTCATCAGTGGGGAACAAGAACAAAAATGCTTTTGAAAATTTAGATGGCTCCAGCTGATTTTGGGGTGGCTGTATTATTCTGGATGCTATTTGCATATCCACATATACAAGGTAGCTTGGTTTTCTGACAGAATTTCCCATAATGCACCTTAGTCGACCACAGTGATGGTTCTATTATCTGAAACTTTGAACACCATCGTAATTTCAAGTTATAATTTTTTAATGAAATACAATTTTCCATCTGGATGGGTGCAGAGTAAGTTATTATAAAAAAAAATCAGTAAGTGGTACTGATGTTTTCGAGACTTTCTCCTCTTACTATTATCACAATAATTCCTACCTTCCTATTAACCCCGTGTAAAACTCCACCAAATTTGACATCAGCGAGAGTCAAAGTATATTTCATAAAATTTTTCTTTTTTTGTGACAGTAGGACCTCTCCTTTGTTTACAGTTCTTAGCAAAACATTGATTTATTTCTGGTAGGTTTATACTAAAAATTAACCGGCACAGAAAACAGGATGGAGAAAATGTAACATTAATAGCTACTGTACCACCCCAGGATTTAGAAATTAAACAGTGTTCCATTCTGTTCCAAAGACAACGTATGTTAATAAACAACCGTGCGAGCTCTTCATTTTTGTTTCTGGAAAAATAAACCCCCATTGCTGACAGCATTTATTCTTTGATCAAACTGTTTACCAAGAAAACATGAATTAAGAGAAAACAAAAAAAATGAATATATTCATTACTGAAAGACTGCAGCCACATGTAAGAAGAGGCTTTATCAGGGCACAATCAATTAATGGCTTTGATAATAATCAAACCTATTCATTCAATTATGCATTCGAGAGAAAAACACTCTCAACAACCTTCTTAGGAGTGTAAGTCTCCTGACCAGGCTTTCATCTCTTATAAAAATGTGGAATTCCTTAAAGATAAATTGGTCCGATAATTAAATCTGATTAGTTACTGGCTCTTAAGCGGAGACATTATAAGAAATTAATGAGGAATTTAGCAGTTTTCATATACAAAAAAATAAAACTATGTTAGAAAACTTTTAAGAAGTACTCTGGAGAGTTTTCCTTTGTTCAGAGTTCATTTGTAAAGCCCAGTTTAAAACACACACACACACACACACACACACACACGGAATTTAGGAGATACTATGGTGCAGATTGGCAGCTTTTATATTGTGTGCTCAAAACATTCATGAACTTTTTTAAAACAAAAGGAAAAATAACCTGAATTGTGTTCTGATAACCAGGACAATACTTAATATTCGTATTGTACTAAAATGCAACAAAGCAAAACTAAAGCATCTCTGAATTTGAGACTGGATTGTTTGCTGATTTGAGCAATGGAACAAATAGAGCTTTGTCCTCCCTGTTGTCAATGCAGTTGGGGAGAATTTCAATAGAAAGTATAAAAGGAAGAAGCAGTATGACAATTCAGTTAATGGGAGCAAAATCTTTAGTCAAACCATAAAAATCACAGCTTAAAAAATATCTGTGAAAACAGAGAAAAATGGCATACTCTTTCCCCAGGTTTTGCTGTCAGAAAGGTAATACAATTATGATATTCAATGTTGATAGCAGAGACAGTCCAGATGCAGAGTCGCTCATCAGTTAAGAATAAACACACACACGAATATCTCAAAAATAAATATTATTAGCTCCATTATTTGAACTGAGCTCGAGGTAATGATTACTTACAACGTGAAGATTTTGTTCCACTCGGGATTGAGATTTTTGTAGACAGTGTGTGTCAGCAGCCTATCATTGTTCAGTTCAACTACACAAAATGGGTCACTTTTACCTACAAGAGATTGGGAGGAACAATTTTAGTATAAACATCACCCACATTTTGCAGCATCATGATCGTGGCCCCATCGCCTGTCTAAAAAATGTTATGAAAAACAGAAAGTAACATATGGTTTAAAAAATTTAAACACAACATCAAAATAGAATTAGATGTAACTGGAGAGTGTTAATCATTTTTGTGATTCATAGCAAATTGGGATTTTTTACTTTTAGTAAAAATTATTAGTAAAACATTTACTTTTTAACCTATTACATAGCTGGTATTTCAATTTGCACTTTTTTTTTACAGAAATAGCAAAAATTATTATGAGAGAAAATGTGATGCATGTTCATCCCCTATAATGATCATTTGAAAGGCTCAACATCTTCACTTTTACGCCTATATTTTCCAACACTTCTGACTCATTAGTAACTTATAACAGAAATTTCTAAACAAGTTTATTTTGGGAAAACTGCTAATTACAGAATTACACCATTTTAACGTGACTTTAGATTCCCTCCTGAAATATCTCTGGCATCACAAGAAGGTAAATTAGACCCTCAGAGGCAGGAAAAAATTCCGCCACTTGAAACTTAACCTCAACAACCAATCTGCATGTTAAAGAGCAGTATTTTTTTCTGTCCACTGAGAGTAAAGAATTTGGAAGTTATCATCTGTTTACAGCGACTCTGTTCTGCCATAATCAAATCTTGTCCATTTGGCAATTATATTTTGTGATATCCTCAATATTTTGTAATGTCATGTCCTGTATTATAAGAACCCCATAAAGTCAGAGGCTCTATGGGGGCAGCATTAATGATATTAGTGCAGCATGTAATTTGTTTGATACCTTATACAAATGACAATGAAATCAATATTTAGACAAAGCTGTCCAGAGGTCATATCTTTTAAACTACAATATTGATTTAGACTACATAAGAGGTTAATGTGCATATTATTAACTTTAATGATAAAGAATAATTGTTTTAAATGCATTGTGAATTGTAGTCACAGTAGTTTACACTTCTGTGAAAGCTTAAATATCATTGAAGATTTTCAATTAAATTTTAATAGGAAGGAATTCATTAGCTATCAGTGACAGATAAGCCATGTATTCCCACACAGCCATGTATTTACTTTCCATATTGTAATTCTTAAAACGAGCCATACAAACTTTGACTCACTTTTAGTTTAATTTTTCAGTTATATAATAAAAAAAAGAGTAAATATATGTGTGTTAGTTCAGTGGCCTCATATACCCCAGGATGTTTGCATAATTTAGTAGTATGGTAGGCTTTTCAATTTTTGGTCTTGGAAACAATTTTGAATAAAGAATAGAGAATGGAAAGTCTTAGAGGTCTGGTGAAAATTTTATTTCTGCTTTAGGATCTGTATTTTTCCTTTTTTTTTCTTTTTATCATACATATACACCATGGAAGACAGAATTAAAAAAAGAACAGTTTGTTCATTAATACACAGTGCAATAGGTTTTATTTGCCACATCAACAATTTTCTTTACTTCCATAGAATTCAGGTACAAGCATAAAAAGTGGGTTCAAACAATTTCCAAAACCTTACTCATTCTTAAGGCCCGTATTAAGTCTTTTCACCCCATTTTGTGCTGAGTCATATGCATACCATAGAAAGAGGACACTAACTGCCACCTCATATCGTTTACAAAAGAATGGAAAAGAAGAAACATATCTACCTGTAATGATCAGGGAAAAAATTAAAGCCGTATTTAATAGAATTCCGTGTCAAAAGAGTTCTATTCCACCATCACTTTGGACAGAACTTTAGATTAAGTGATTAGTGCTGGAAACTTTCACTTAAAAGACAAGTGGAGTGCTCATACTCTTCCTGGGACTTCCTTTTAACTTTTCTCATATATGAGATTGTAAATCTCAATTTAGTTAAAAAAAAAAAAGACTATACAAAAATAGCACTACTGGGCATTTCTGTTTACTCATTTTCACTTGCTTGACTTCAATGACTATTATATTTCAGTTGGCTTGGTTTTACTTGCCCTCAAGTGATCACCATGTGTAACAGATTCAGTCAAAACTGTATCACTTCTTCAATAGCAAGACACAAGAACAGACCCCAGAGACCAGTATCTTTGGGAAAAAATTTTACTCTATCTTATTTTGTTATTATTTCCCAGGATGGAGCCCAACACTGGAGTCAAACTCATGACTGTGAGATCGAGACCTGAGCTGAGATCAAGAGCTGAGATCAAGAGCTACTTAGCCGACTGAGCCACCCAGGTGCCCTGAAAAAATAAATTTACTTTAAAATTCTACCAGCAGAGGATGAAAATCTTTACTTGATTTTTTTCCCCACAGGATTAACATTCAATTGTGTTAGAGACTTTCAACCACGTGGAAAGTCTCTTAAATTATCACCTTCTCTGTTACTTTATCTGTATTTGCTGACAAAAGATAGGGAGTCTTAAAGACACAAAACCTGTTTTTAATGATTAACACTTTCCATATCTTGTTAAATAACGAATCCATTTATCAAACTTTATGCCCACAAGGCAGTGGTTATCCATACTTTCTCACCATGCAGTTGATGAGATTTCAAGATCATTCCTGGGGGAAAACCAGTATCTGCCATCTACCACCACGTTACTTATTGTCTCTCTCTTTTCCATTAGAATGAAGATATTAAAGCCTCACCCACCAAAAACAGTGTGGGTACCTCCTGAAGCCACTTCTCAGTCATTTTGCTAAATTCCAGTGGCATTCCACCATTGGCAAAAATATTCTCGTATATGTACCAGCTTATAACTTGAAATTACCTGCTAAGCAAGGTAATTTTTAAGAGAGCATATTAGACACTATACCAAATGTAGTGGTGCTTACATTAAAAAAAAAGAAAAAGACACTTGTACTTTAGATCAAGCTACTATTTAACAGAGTTTTTATTAAGTATATTTACATGTGGGGTGCCTAAGTGGCTCAGGTGGTTAAGTGTCCTACTCTTGATTTTGGCTCAGGTCATGATTTCAGGGTCATGAGACTGAGTCCCACATTGGGCTCAGCACTCAGCTTGGAATCTGCTTGAGATTCTCTCTCTCTCACCCCCACTCTGCCCCTCCCTGTGTGCTCTCTCTCTGTCTGAATAAATAAATAAAATCTGTTATATATATATATTTAAATACAAGGCACCAGGCAAGCAAGCCCTCGCCCAATAACCGTGCCATATCTTAGTCGTTAGTAGGCCACACACATGGGAAGAGCTGGCTAATGTTTTCATTACAGATTCATTCACTCAACAAGTAATTATTACTTACCGTGTACCAGGCAGTGTTCTATGATTTGCGGTGCTAGAAGTGCATAAAACAATAATAATAATAAGCCTGATCTCGTGGTGTTTACATTGAGGAAAAAGACAACAAACACATACATTTTATGGTATTTTTAATGATAAGTACTACAGAAAAATATAGGAAGGGCAATGAGGAGTGCTGATACGTATGTGTAGTTTTTAAAAAGACTGTCAGAGAAGGTCTCCCTGAGAAAGTACCATATGGGCAAGGAAACAAGGAAATGAAAAAAGCAGGGGATGCTCTGGGCTACCTAGAACAACAGATTGTGGAAAGATCAGAGAAATGGCTGTGCATGGCATTTCCAAGAAACCAGCATGACTGAACGAATGAACTGGGTGTAGGGGAAGAGTCCTGGGTGAGGTATGGGGAAGGTGGCAGGTGTCTGTAGGATATGGCTTTCTCTGGAAGAGCTAGAAGAAACTTTTGGAAGTATTTGAGCTGAGGTGTGACATGATCTGACAGCTGCTAGTTGGAGAATCAGGTGGAGAGAAGCCAGTGGAGGAGGTAATGAGAAGAGTTAGGAGGATGTTATGACAATCCAGGTGATGGAAAGTACTTGGATTCTGAATATACTTTAAAGGTAGAACCAATAGGGTCTAAAGATGCCAGTAGTGAACAACCTATTATGCCTGATATTGTTATTTGCTGATTGAAAACAAGTCACTGAGCTTAGCCGAGTCAGTCTTTTTTTCCCCCCAAGGACAAGAAGCATTCAACACAGTACTTAGGGTAGCTTTTCTAGAATCTGTCAAAGAGGAGAATTTACGTAACGAGAAAGCGGCCAATTTTATATTTAATTTCTATTCATCTTTTCCTTCTAAAAAGTTATGTTTTTACAGTTATCAGTAGTGGATGCCAACATCAGGTCTTTACACACTATGTTATTTTCAACTAATTTAGAAAGTATCCTTCTGCCACTGCATGATTCAAGGGTAATTAAAAATTAACAGCGATTTCAACCAAAATAATAGTAAACGTACAATATCAAATTCTATAAACTTACCACTAAAAAGCATTCACCATAGTTTTATTTTAAAGAAGTGGCTACACATAGTTAATGTGCTTATCTGGCTTGCTAAATGATGCTTTAAATGACTGGCTTTTCAGTTCCTAAATTTTGCAGCCTTGATTATGTGCCACTTAAACAACCGAAAACAATCACAGAAATACCAGTGATGGACCTAACCATTAATTATCTCCTTAATTATTCCTGCCTTTCATCCTTTTATCGTTCTAGTTAGACCTCGTGATATGTTGCTGTGCTTGCCGAGAGTATCTCAGGAGTGGGATTGACTGCAGAATCAGTGTTGACGTCTATAAAGCACACTGTATTCGGCAAAGCCCTAAAGAGTGATGCAGAGCTGCTCCTTGTGATGATTTTACTCAATACTGTATGGCTAGCAGTGCAAGGAATTAAGGCAGCATCCAGAGTTGAAATGCATTTTGTTTCGATTATCTCTGGCTATTTAAACAGCCTAAATGTATGGAAACAGATTATATAACCTTTCATCTTCCTCTTAGCCATTCTTGTCATAAGACTAAAGCTAACTTGTGGGTACCACCGGGCTTTCCCTTAACTTTCACCATTATGGCTAAAAAGTGCCTATCTGTCTCTTTCGCAGTGCAGAAAAATGAAGGTTCGGGTTTGAATACAAGATAGAAATTGCAGCAGTGCTGGTGA